CACTGCAGTGAGTACTGAGTTACGCTCTCTGTCACTCACTGCAGTGAGTACTGAGTTACGCTCTCTGTCACTCACTGCAGCGAGTACTGAGTTATATTTCTATCCTAGTTACGTACGCTTGCAGTTGCCTCGTAGGCCGGTACCATAGTACCCCGGCTGGCAGGTACACAAGTAGTGCCCGGTGTGAGTGCCACATGTACACGTGGCGTGCACATCACAGCAGGAACCTCCGTCCTCCGCGGGGCACAACGACGAGCACGCCTGGGGGTTCTGGTCCACTAGCGAGCCCGTCTGTAGATCTGGGCAGCAATTAAATAAATTTTGCGGTGAAAAAGATTAAGATTATTCACGATTAATCATTTGTATGGGAACAGTTTGTGGCGAATAGCTGGGAGGATACGAAGATAGCTAGGAGAATTTTCCCAGTTATTATTCAGTAATTGTGGAATGTAGGAAGTTGGAAATTCTCAAGAGGTAATCAATGTATTTATTAAACTGGAGACCGAGCAACGTACATCTGTCGTAAAAATTAGAAGTGAAATTCTTTTCTAATACTAAGATAAGGTAGTAAAGCAAATTGTTCGAAGGATTCTACAGGCCTATAATGATGAAATATGATGGCTTTTGCTTATGCTAGCAGTTCTGATCCCAAATATTTCGTTATAATCTTTTAAATTATCATTAATAACATCCGTTCAAATTGGAATAAAATTTGAAAATATTTTCCCGATTTACCGCCAAAATTATTAGAATAATTAGATTATTATTGGTATATATAAAGTTATTTCAATGGCCCTCACCCTCATGCAAAGCTCGCCTGGCCAGAGCCTCGAACTCCTCAAAAGACTCTAGGATGTAGGAGTGCTCCTCTCGGGGGTGCGACGCCATGTCGTACAGCTCCTGGGGAAAAGGCAATGTTCAAACCTCATTAGTGATATCCTGTAATAAATTTCATATTGAACAAACCGTTTGTGATTTTTTTCGTGTCATAGTGTCAGTGCTGGTAACCAAGAAGTGGATTTCGGGTCCTCGTGATCAGGGCAACAAACGCTTGTTTAATTGAATGCAAAGACCTGTCGTTAACCTTGAGATGACTCCCAAAGTTATTTTAAAGTAGCAGAATAGCCCTTCGTTGTCCAGGCTTGACAATTCTTTTAATTTTGCTATCCTGATTTTGTTATCCATGTTATCTCTAGTCCCGATATTAAAGCTAAAGTGTTCTATTTAAATAAAGGCACCTCCAAAACCTCATTTTAAATAGAATATTAGGCTCCCATAATAGAATATTAGGCTTACTCCATAACAGTACAACTAAGACATGGGAAAAAACACCCTGCTCAGTGTTGGTACTAATGTTAGTAAAAGCCTTCGTTTATCGACAATAACGGAACAAAATAAAACTTCAAGAAATTTTTGTAATAATAATTATAATGTTTGTAGTTTTTTATTTGTTTTATATTTTATAATTCTCATCGTATCCGTTTCTAAAGCAGAACTTTATTAATGGAAACCATCTCTGATAATTTTACGAAAAATGAAATTCATATTGCAAAATTGTAAGCAATAAAAGGAAGCTGTAAAAATAACATTGCTGGCGTTATACTTGTAATAAGACTTTATTTAATTATAAGGTATATTTCAATTTCAATAATAAGGAATGCATCTAACCTCGACATTGCCATTCCTAATGCCGAAGGTGAAGATAGTGACGCCATGTCGCTTGAGCGCCTCAGCAGCAGGCCGGGGGTCGCCTCCGTTGCTGTAGCCGTCGGTGACCAGGAACACGGCCTTCACTGAGTCGCGGCGAGACGCAGCCAGCACGCGCTGTATGTAACACGCATATACATATTATTATGTGAATAAATATATATCAATCTAGACCTCAATCATATGATGTGGAGAACGCTGCATGTAACACGCATTATATATTATTGTGTGAATTAATAAATACCAATCTAGATCTCCTCTCGTGTCTTTTTAGCCGCTTGTAACGTGCCCTCGAAGTTCGATCTGAACGAGAAGCCACGACAATCTCTTCATGGAATAATAATAATAATAATAATAATAATAATAATAATCTCAATCATATGCTGTGGAACTAAAATGATATTATAATGTACAAAGGATGTAGGTTTAAAGTTAATAGTGGAGTGGTTGACAGAGTAAAGATGGAAAGTCTCCTCGAGACCTCATCAATTTAATAGAAATGTTATAGAATTGCTCTCACCCGAAACAGTATCGGAGTGCAGGTAGCAAAGTTTAAAATATTCGAATATTATGAGGGGCATTTGATAATCCTTTCAAGTAATATATAAATAAGGCCTAATTATAAGGGGATTCGAAGAAAGTATTTGATTGTAATGAAGTAAATTTTTATAAGTGGTAATTAATATGACGTGCATTGTGATTATAAATTCATAATATAAATTAAATCCTCTATAGGTACCATCTGCGATAAGTAAATCACAATAACAAACAAATAATTCGCTTAGGGTCATGAGATTTTCGGTGTTGCAGTCAAATTTCAAATAAAACAGCTTCATGATTATAAAAAAAATTAACCTGGGCCTCCAGCATGGCACCCATGGTGTATGTACCGCCTCCCATGAAGCGAATCCTGGGCATCTGCCACTCGAGCAGCACACACTTGTGGTTGTGTGGGTGTGGGGAAGATACGTGGTCGACCTCTACCTTAACCTGCCGAGAAAATTATTACGTAATTAGGAAATACAGTTTTGAGAACGTTTTGAACAAGAGAAGCCTATCGCGCGAAAACTTCAACGACGTTCAATGTTCACCGATTCTTAACCTAAAGATGAGTCGTGCCGACACTTCTGGTGACTATGCAGCAATAGCAATTTTAAAATGTACTGTTATATCATGTCGAACAATAAAATTAAGGGTTGTAATACGGCGAAACGAAGTACAGCTTTGCATAATCAGTGAGCGACTTACCCTGTCTTGACTACTGAAAGTGATTACGGCGACCCTGGTTTGGTTGTAGGAGACAGTGAAGTCAGCGAGGAGCTTCTTAACGAACTTCAGTTCGTCGAGGAAATTATCTGCACCAACAGACGACGATGAATCAACGAGGAACACCAGCTCTATCGCTTGGCCAGAGACCTGCACGGCAAAAAAAGTTGGATGAATAAAATATACAGAAAATCGAGAAACAAGGAAGCAACGATGAAAGAATAATCAGAGTACAGTTTTTTTTTAGTAATTCAGAGTTAGTTAATTAATTCCGCCTGAATTTATTACTCTTTGAAATACGTAGGTTATAAAGTATGTATCGCTTACCTGCCAGCCTTTGAAGTTCGCCCCTGAGGAAACTTTGCTGCTGCTGGAGTGCACCCTGACAGCGCGGACGCTGCTGGGCAGCTGGTGCAGCGCTGCCACGCGGCCGAGCCTCGCACGGTTCTCTTCAAAATCTCAGTTCGATCGTTCTCAGAATTATAGGTCGATATTTAATGCACAATAGTTAGTGAGATATGCATAAAAAACATGAAAACAGTTTTTATATGTTACATAATAAGTTACTGATACACAAAATAGATTTAAGTAAAAAATGTTTCCTAGTATATGTTTTTATATTAGTTTTTCAATTCATTTGTATATATATTAATTTATTCCATATTAGCAGAAACGTGCCCCCCTGCAGATATCACCGATTACAAGCTTTACGCTGGTAATTTATGAATTGAATTGCCATATTGAGACTCTCCTTTCATGTTATTTAACGGCTACGCTATTGGGGAGTTGTAGTGATAACGGCCATAAGTGCGAATATCCCAAAATTCCCTACAGAAGTTTCCTCGCTACAAGCTTTACAGGCTTGACTGTAATAAACTTGCAGGAAGAAAAATCGAAGGAGAAGAAGAACGCTTAATTGCCATAGAAAAGGCTTAGTCGACGTCGGAGAATTTACTGAAGCAGTTACGAAATATTCAATTAGAGTTACTGGGTCTTTCATTAAATAC